AAATAAAACACGTGATATATGTCACGTGTTTTATTTTCGCATGTTGCAATATCAGATGGAGGTTGGAATGAATCTGACTTAGGTATTTTTTGACAATGACAATTGCGTTTGGAGAGGGGCACTGAGGTGGCCGAAAGTTGAGTAAACTTGCACTTCAACGTCTGTGATTCCAAATGGTGGCCAGCAGAATTATGGAGATTGATCAGCGAGACATTGACATGATAAGTTTCCAATGTCACATCCACTGACTCATGTTACTTATGCAATGAATGTCAATTATGCGGCATCTTTGATTAGTTAGAAGATTTATTCTAATTCCAAGTTTATTAAATTTGTCTGGGAAATGGGAAAGACATTCATTATTGCATGTGCTGTTAATTGATGAGAATACGGAAGGAATGTATCCAGGGATACATCCTTATAAAATTAACTATGATAGAGCTTTGCCTTGAAGAGAATGCCAAGATGGTCTATGAACTAATCCATAGTTGTTCTCCGTTTTTCAATAAAATTGGTTGCAAAGAGGTAAGGGTCAATTCCTAGTCTGTCACGATGTGTCTGTTACGACACATCCAAATTGTATTTTTCATTGTAGATATGCTTAGGTCAAGGTGAATTATTTCAAATGCAACATAACAGATCGCCGACGACCCATAAGCGGTACCACACAGTTGTCTACCCGTCCAAACAGGTTTAATGAGAGACTTGTAATGGATTATCTTATTTTCTATTACCTACGGCCTAATATAACCAGCGCATTTGGATTTTGCTGACCTTTATTTCCAACTGCTTCCTTTTTGTGATGTGTTTTCTCCAATTCAGTTTTCGCTCTAAATGCATCCTTAGATATTTGGCATGGACTGACTGCGGTAATGTGCTGGTATTCAATACTACTGGTGGACAGGAAACAACTCCAGTCAACATAATTTGAATGAATTTTCTGAATAAGATGCATTATTATGAATTTTTTCATCTAAATCCTTTCTGATATTTCGTTTCACTTAGGGAGGACGGTGGTTACAATGCTATCTTCGAAATAGTGTAACTGTTAGCTTGCTCCGATTTTTATAATGACTTATGGGAAAATTCAACACATTTTTTAAAGAATTATTTGTTTTAATTATGTTGAGTATTTTCGAAAAAACCGCATTATCAGTTTATGAGGCTAAGATTGACAATTTCTGAGAAAGGAGCATAGCACCCATCTCATACCAGATAGAAAAGATGAAACAGAGCTCATAAAAGTCGATGCAGGCAAACAGAAGTTACGTCACTTTTTCGAAAATGTCCCTTCCTCCCTAAACGAAGCAAAATAAGAAAAAATATGTGAATAAAAAAATGAAAATTGTGCATTCGATTCAGAAAACGTATTTTGGACATATTTTAATTTCATTTGGTTTTGAGAAATACTACATATTTGTGTTGATGTTAAGATTTCGCCCTCTAGCGGTCATCTTAGTAACCAGTTCCTGTAAATTTCTCATTGCCCCTTTTTTTAACGCTTAACTAGTAACGTGCCGTCTGTGAGACTGCAAGCAATTTTTTTTTCAATGTTGGAACAAAACTGCACCTGCGCTGCGGTCAATGACCTTATCTAATCGTTCTCCTATTGGTGCCCCGTCTACCGCATGAACAGTGGTAAATTCGGGAAAACCATCTTTGAGACAGTTGTAATTGTTACTTCAGCGCAGTCTGTGAGACGGCACGTTACGGTTTGTGTAAGAATTTCTTGCAACTTGTAGCCATGGCAGGCCCGTCAAAACGTGTACGTTACGGTAATAAGGATTTTGAGGAGACTCTTCAGCGTTGGTATGAAGAAGATGACGCAGTATATAGTGAATCTAGTGACTTGGACAATACCTCAGATGAGGAATTTGAAATTTCCGATCATGATAGTAGAAGTGAGTTATCTCAAAGTAGTGACGAGAATGACGAAGTTACAGAACAACAAAGTGTGGATGAGAGAAAGTATTTATTTGGAAGAAACCGTCATAGATGGTGTACAACGGAAGTTCGACCAATATCTCGTACCAGGAAACATAATATTGTAACGAAAGTTCCTGTTATCAAAGGAAAAGCTCGACAGCTCGGAGAAGAAGCAGATCCTATTTCTGTGTGGCAACTGTTATTTACCGAAGAAATGTTACAACATATTGTGAAATGGACAAATCATAAAATAAGTTCAATGCCAACAAAGTATAAAGTGGATTCGACCACATTGAAAGACGTTGACGAGATTGAGTTGAGAGCTTTTTTTGGACTTTTGATATTCACATCTGTTTTCAATTCAAACCATGAGAATATCAAAACTATTTTTGCGACAGATTGAAGTGGAAGAGACATCTTCAGGGCAGTGATGAGCGAAAAACGATTTGCTACACTTCTGTCTGCAGTGAGGTTTGACAATCCAGAGGACAGGAACGAAAGGAAAAAGCAGGACCCTGTAGCAGCAATTTCTTTTATTTTCAACAGTTTCATAGAGAATAGCCAAAATGTCTATGGAATTGGCCAGTCGACCACCGTTGACGAAATGCTTGTGAGCTTTCGTGGCAGAGCTAGATTCAAAATGTATATGCCAAACAAGCCTTCCAAATATGGGATAAAAATAATGGCTTTAACAGATGCTAGAAATGCCTACCTTTACAATGCGTATATATACGCAGGAAAAGATTCCGATGGGATTGGACTTGACCCTGAATTCAGGAATTATTCTAAGCCAACTCAAGCCGTTTTACGTCTTGCACAGCCTTTATTTGGGAGCAACCGCAACGTCACGGGAGACAACTGGTTTTCATCGGTGGAGCTGACAGACATATTACTGAAAAAGAAGCTCACATACGTTGGAACGTTGAAAAAAAATAAAAAGGAAATTCCACCTTGTTTTTTACCGAACAAGGCAAGGGAACTTGGATCAAATCTGTACGGCTTTCGTGAAGACTCAACTATAATTTCCCATGTTGGAAAGAAAAACAAGGCTACCATACTTATCTCCACAATGCATGATAGGACTTTTACTGATCCAGAGACAATGAAACCTGAAATAATTGCATACTATAATGCCAACAAAGGAGGGGTGGATTCTCTTGATGAGAAATGTGCAAAAAGTAGTTCTAGTCGTCGTACACGTAGATGGCCTTTAGCTGTTTTTTACCGTATTATTGACGTCTCGGTAGTGAATTCATACATCTTACATCAGTGTTACAAAAACAATAAAGTGATGAAAGACAAATCTGTATTTGCGAAAGAACTAGCTATCAAACTTGTCCAAGGACACATGGAAAGACGACTACAGAATCCTCGTTTGCCTCGCGAGTTACGCTACACCATATCACGTATCCTCGGCAGACCAGAAGAAAATTTACCCGACAGAACGGAAAATTTACCCGAAAGACAGGAAAATTTGATGTTGCAAAAGCGAAAAGCCTGTTATTTGTGTCATAAGACCACACATCGAATGACAAAATATCTGTGCTTGGAGTGTAGGAAACCAGTATGCCTGCAGTGTTCACATCCCAAATGCAACAGTTGTGCGAATAAGCCTTAGATTTAGGACCTGCTGGGACCTTTGAAATGCAAAATTTCTTAACGTTTTGTTTCATTGATTTATTGTTTCATTTATCATTAATAGTAAAATATATAACATTGCTTTCATTTATCATTTTTTCCATTATCATGCTCCCTTGGAAATTACACTACCAATTTTTTTTCAAGTTGATAATTATTATTTAATTTTTTTTTCACGTTAATTTTCCCGGATATTTTATGTAAAATTATTACTGAGAATATGCAACTAACATACCTTCATATATATTTGTAAAAAATTATAAGGTTCATTTATTTATTTTTTATTTGAAAAGGTGCCAGTCTCACAGACTGCACGTTACCAGTTGTGTTCCAAATTTGCACGTTACCAGTTAAGGGTTAAAGTATTGCCTTCCGTTGACTGGTTGACGAAAGGCAGCAGTCTTTTATGAGTCACCATATACAGGGTGATTCACAAGTCGTGACCAAAAAAAAACATCATACACAGGATCGCATTCTGCGTAACATTTTTTTCCTTAAGTTTAAAAATCACAATTTTTTCTAATATCTTATGCATGATCTTTCATTTTTATTAATCATCTTTTATCGGCTATTGGTCGAAAACCGCAAGATTTTCCGCGCTAAACTCTACTATGACACCTAGATTTTTTTCACACTTATTAATTCCCCTTCCTATTGGCGTCGGAAGTTAAATAAATGGAAATGTGTCACCGTCGCCATAGCACAAGCGGGAGCGGTACCTCCGCTTCAAACTTATCTTCATTACCATTTGGAACTTTGTTAATTAGAGTTGGGGAGTTTTCTAACGTTGGCATTAAATGTCCGGTGAAACTTCCGTGCTTATTAAATATCTGACTAATTCCTTTGTCGACCCCCATTTTTGCCATGCAGTTGCAGGTGACATACCGCCAGCTTGTCAGGAGGCGGGCGGGGTTCGATCAGCTTTAATGAAGGAATATTAGCTCATAATGATAGTCAGTAACGGAGCCAAAAGTGCAGTATGAAGGTCATTCTCATGTTACGTGATAAAAAAAAATGTTACAGGCAGGTAGAATCGTAATTTCTAATTTACTCCTGAAAGGACTTATGCAAGACTAAATATATGACCCTATCTTGAAAAAAGTATAATCGCCATAGAACTTTGCGTAAATTGTATAAAATATAAGCTCAAGCACCGTGTCCTGCGAGATGTGTATTTGTGTTGTAACTTGTTTTATATGCTCTCATATATTTTTTTATAGTGAAGCAGCCGCATAGTCAAACACACACACATATCAAGGCGCCAACTGCTATTAGAAACTTAAATTACGCCTTGATGATCACAGTTTTGAACTTTCCGACGTTTTCACCTTTTATAGATTTTTGGATGTTGATAAAGGCTCCTTTTATTTTTGAGTTATTGTTAGCAAATTTGTTGATTATTACATGCCGTCAAAGTTCATTTTTCCTTTTTCCAGGCTGTCACTCTTAACTGCAAACAGTTGACACAGCTGTCTTGTTTTGGGAATCTCGTTTTAGGACAGCGCAGTATTATTGCAAGGTCATTGAAAATTGGCCAATAGCACAGTGTTTGATAAGGTATCTCTAGGCATATTGGAACAATGGTCAAACCGCTGCTCATCAAACTTAGTATATTTGCCGTAGAACACTTGAAGATACAAACCATAAATTTTGAAAACAGTATTTCTTAATATGCAACCCTTAGAAGCTAGAAAGAAGACATTTTAAGTGAAAGAAGAGACTGTTATGTACCTATATTTGCTGTTTGAGGTTTTTTATATTTTAGATAAAATATTACATGACGTTTACTAGAGTAGTGAAGTGGCTCATGATTTTTGGTGGGGTGACATCATCAACATCTGCACCGATTACGACTCATTATGTCTATGATTTTCCCCCTGAAAGTGGTGTAAGCAAAACCTTCAAATGTTAGTTGACAAAATACTGTTTTTGTCTTTGGGATGCTTTAACAATATGTCAATACGATTTTATATTATACGTCTATAAAATTAGTAAACTTTCTATACATGTGGCTTTATTTGGCCGACAGAACATGGATCAGCCGGCCCACCACACGATAAGCTTCTAGTTTTCAAAAACACATTTGACTAACACTGAAGCAGCTATTTGTACGTATATGAACGCCTGTGGATCATTTGAGAATTTCTATAGATAGAATAAAAAATACATTTTTATGAAGGGCTTTTATTTAGCTGTTCATAAAATGAAAATTTAAAAATATTTTTTCCGATTGGAAAAAAGTTTATCCCTAGAAGCGCATTACACCCTTTTTGGTTGTAGTTTAAATACATATTTCCATTCGGATTTTTTTTTTAATTTTATAGTTCATTTTATAAACAACTGTATTTAAAAACGTTAATTTTCATTTTGTTTATTTTTTATTTAGAAGTTATGTAGTCAAATAACTAGTAATTTTATTATAACTCTCCCATTCTTTACTGATAGAACTCCGTAAAACTTCGTCATCTCTTTGTGTTATGAAATTTCGATAGATACAATCATAAATCAATATTTTGCTGCGATTGTCATATGATACTTAAAATGACATTATTTGCTTATTAGTCTAATCATATTAGACGAAAATACCCCTGGCTGGCAAAATAATTGTTAAGAGTGCTTTTATTGGTTTTTGAGGGTTTCGAATTGTTTATCCCAAAACACCGATTTTCCGACCATGACTACTAGTTTATTGAGCAATATACTGGGTTAGTTCAAAGGGCATTTTATAGCAAAATACACTAGTTTATCTGGCCGATATGAATCCAAACCATATTGCTCTATATTGCTCAATAAACTAGTAGTGATGGCCGGAAAACAGATCTTTTGGGATAAACAATTAGAAATTCTCAAGAAACTACTTAACCAATGTACTCCGATTTCGTTGTTGTTATTTGGAAGTACGGATCCTATGGATTTGGAGAATTGCAAGTAGTAGCGTGAAATTATCGTTGCATTACCAACAAGTGCCAAAACCTTGCTTGGCTTTCCGGCCATAACATTTTTGCTATTAATCGGATCCTTTTACGTGTGGTCTCATTTTGTAGGTCTCATAAATACCTTATGTTAAAAGTTTCTTCGTTTCTGTCAACACTTTCGATTGAATCCAAAAAAAAAACGTTTTCTCATTCATTTTCAAATTAAAAGTTTTCCTATCCCCTTGAACAACTTGCACCAAGAGACTTCACAATTATTTTGGGGAAATTTGCTAAGATGATTAGACTATATCGTGTTTCTCTTACAAGACATTTCCTTTTTATATCATAGCGGTGACCACGGTAATTATAAATTGTCATTCAGCGACAGCCGCCATATTGGATCTAGAATGACGTCACTTTGCTTATCATCACTTTCATTTGATACCCATAGTATAGGGGTGACTATGGAAATTATAAATCGCGACTTTGACATGGCCCCCATGAATTTAATGTGACATCGCATTGCTTGTGTTTCTTTCATAAAGCCTTGTAATTTGAAACCTATATCATATGACTATGGTATTTACAAACGACATGTTACGTTTCTCTTATCAAGCTTATTTGATACTCCTACGAGTATATTAGGGGTGACTAAGAAACATGTAAATCGCCGTGTTGCGGTGGCTGTCATACTGAATTTAGAATAACATCACTATGCTCTTTTATTTGATACCCATATCATAGGGCTAACTGTGAAAAATGTAAATTGCCATTTTACGGGTGACCACGCTGGATTTAAAATGACGTCACTTTGATTATTGCATTTCTGTCGTCAAGCCTTTTCATTTGATACCCGTATCATAGGGCTTACTATAGAAATGATGAAGCTCCACGTTGGATTCAAAATTTCGAGAGTTATTTCATTTTGTATTGTCACGTGAACCAAGCGTGTGTAGAATTCCAGCCATTGGTTTAGGCTAACTGGTTCAGAATTCAAGTCCAAGATTTCTCTCAGACATACAGCTTACATCCAAAATTGCAACAAACAGGTCAAGCTAAATTTTATTTTATTTCGTACCTAAAAACCGCAATGAATCATGTGTAGTATAGCTGTAAAAGTCAATGCTTGTAATATATATATAAAATGTGTGGCAATTTATTTTATTTATAAAACGGTAGGGTTACCATATTTTTCATAATAAAGAACCTTTATCTGAAGCAGAACGCGTATGCTAGCCAAATCGCCACTAAAGGACCTTTGCGAGATATTATACAGGGCATGCCAGTAATTTAACTGATAAAATCATTCGTATTTACCTCAGTTACAGACCGTGCGGTGTAGGATGAAATTACCTTTTTGCATTCATACATTGTTTTGAGAAATGTGAAAAGATTGTACTGTACATATATTGTTCCCTCTGAGCATCACACGTCTGCTTCCATGAAAATGCCCTTAGGCAAGCAGAGGCGCATTGTGAGTTTCAGTCCATCAAAAATAATCTATATGCTTGTTAAGGGTATCCTAATATAGAGTTTTGTGATAGGAGTCCCTCATTGTTCTTACGTATTTTTTGCCGCTGAACACGAATCTGAAGTTAGAATTGGAGATCGAATTTTAGACAACACCCAAAAAAACGATTAGAATCATAATCTAGTGACTTTTTGTACGGATTTTTCATATGATACCTGAGAGTGGTTATAAATGCTTTCCTTCCTGTTCTAAAATAATAATAAAAAAGTGAAATAATGTTGTGATACGTAGACAACGTACAGTCTGTGAAACTCAAAAGCACGCCAATTTTGGCCTAGCAAACATGCTTTAAAGTCGTTTCAAAGTAAACTTATCTTAAAATACCCTTCGAGTTCTTGTGGAGCAAGGTCTTAACTTTAATTTAAAAATTTCGCTACCTTAAAAATTGTACTGTTCAACCGAGAGTTGAAGCATTGGATATACTCATTTTTAGGGGTTTTCATACATTGAATGGCTTATACTCGAAAACGGTCAACTTTAGAAAATAGTTACTAAAGTCTTTTTTTGTTCAGAACCATCTGAAACAACCTGAAAAAAATCTGTCCGAGCAACAACGTCATTTTTTCAATATATTCAAAAAATGTTCAAGCAAATTTGACTTGAGCAATTGTAGCTGACAAACAAGTTTCATACACTTTCCTCAAATTTTCTTCTCAAGCTACAAATTACATTATCAGCCTACCATGCAGTTTAACTGGCCTGCCACAATTTGGCAACATCGCACCATTTCTAAATGTACAAATGGGTATAAAGGACCGGTGATAGTCCAATTTTATGTATTTTGATGCTCAAATGCCAACTTACCTTGTTAAGTGTTGTAATTGATTTTTTAGGAATAAAATAGATGCAGTACCAGAATACATCGCATACCGATTAATAAATGACTTGCACGATATCCAGTGATCATTTTTGAACAGATGCTGGGATATTAGATGAACCGAAAATTTCGATTTCGTGAGGGAAGTTCTTTGACACGATTTTTTGTTTGTTGAATGAACATGAAACAATAGGTAATCCGGGTAGAATATATTTGAACGATTTTTCCAATTAAATGAAAAAATGATTTTTCCGTCAAGACAGTTTTTCAAATTTTTTGGATCATTCTGAATAAATAAGGCATCAAGTAAGCGATTTTAAGGTCTGAAAAACCCTAAGAATGGTTATATCAAATGCTGAAAAGCTCGATTAAAACTTATAATTTTTGAGGTCGCTAAGTTTCTAAAGTAAAGTTGAAACAAGACCCGTAAAGGTATTCTGAGATTAGTTTATTTTATCTTGTATGCGACGCGACTGTTCTTATACGAATTACAAGTTTCGCTACTTCGAGAACCATGAAGCTGTCGAAAAAACATAGCAGACCTATTTTGCAGCATACTTTAATCTTCACAAAAAAGGTAGTAGTTTTTATACATTTAGGTTGATAGTTTAGTCATTATACGCGAAAATATGATTACATGTAGCTTCATCCTTGATTTTGTCGTAACAGCCTCACGGACCCCAGAATGATCACGTTTAAGTTCGGTAACTATACTAAGTGACATATAAATCCGAACACCCAGGTTAAATGGTTTTATTTTAATAAAAGTTGGTGAATGTATTTATCTTACTGTGAATAACAAGTGAAAAAATTTTCAGCCTTATCAGTTGGACATTCCGGTTTTTATACTGCTTTCTTTTAATTCACTAACGCTCTAAAAATGAATATTTCAGCCGCAGTAAAGTATCAACGTTGGCGGATTTTGGTTCTTGACATCCTTTACGATCGGTTACGATGCCTAGAGTACGGAGACCTGTACGATTTCGTCAACTTAGTGAGTTTGATAGGGGCCGTATAGTGGGACTTCGTGAAGCCGTACTTTCTTTTCGGGCAATTGCAGTTAGAGTGCAAAGAAGTGTAGACACTGTGGTTAGGTGTTGTCAGGCATGGCTTCGAGAAGGCCGTACGCAAAGAGCAAGGGGCACTGGATGCCGCCGTAGAACAACAGACCGTGAAGATCGCCGCCTAAGATTATTGGCCTTAAGGGACCGTTTCTCCACTACCAGGTCCATTGCAAATGAATGGTTTGCAGAACACGGAAGACCTAGTGGCATGCGAAGTGTTTACCGACGAATGAGAAGTTTTGGCTTGTTTTCATACCGGCCACACTGGGTCCTCCCTTTAACTCGAGAACACCGACGTAATCGCCTTGAGTGGTGCAGAAAACGGTCACTCTGGGATCAGGAATGGAACAGTATTGTCTTTAGTGACGAGTCTCGATTTTGTTTAGGCATGCACGATGGTCGTGCCAGGGTTAGAAGGCGACGTGGTGAAAGGAGGAATCCACAGTTTTTTGTTGAAAGACATGTTCATCACACTGTTGGAGTTATGGTTTGGGGTGCTATAGCTTATGGTTCCAGGTCACCTTTAATCTTCATCAGAGGTAACATGAATGCGCAGCGTTATATCCACGAAGTTCTAGAACCCCATCTTTTACCCTATCTTGACACCCTGGCAGATCCAACTTTCCAACAAGATAATGCCCGACCACATGTTGCAAGAGTCACAATAGACTTCTTTCAACATAATGATGTCACATTGTTACCATGGCCACCAAGATCTCCCGACTTATCCCCAATTGAGCACGTGTGGGATATGATGGGTAGGAGATTGCTCAATTTGCAACGACCTCCTCAGACTCTAGAAGCACTTCGAGAGGAGTTGGTGGTTGCCTGGAATGAGATACCACAGTAGGACATTGACCACCTGATCAGAAGCATGCCTAGGCGCGTTGGAGAATGCGTAGCACATCAGGGTGAATCCACACATTATTAAAGGTCAAAGGACTTTAAAGCAGTGCAATCATTTTGAAATTTTTATCATTTACTTATTATGCTTCATTAAGTACTTATACAAAATTTTATTAAAATAAAACCATTTAAACTGGGTGTTCGGATTTATATGTCACTTAGTATATTATATATTTCTTTGCTTGAGAATACTATATCATTTTGAACCTGATTCTTCAACATGGAAATAAAATGTTAATTCATTGTCAAACCATAATCCTAAATTTTTGCTAATGGTTACAACTGGTAACGAAATTTTAATAATTGCTAATTGACATAGATTTTATGCTTGACCCAAAAATCATTATTTTAGATCTATTCGCGTTTAGCGTCGAGCTATGAGCTGCTGATGTATTGAAAAGCAAGTCCAGATCGTTGTTAATTAAACTGAAAGTGAGAAATGCATCGTCAATAGCGAAGTTGCAGTATAATTGCATATCATCTGGTGTGTTTTGAAAAGTCCGAAATGTATATAAAAATAAAGGAGAACTGAGACTAGAGCTATTTATAGGGCAGATCTATTAGACAATTCGTTATACTGACATCCCTTAGTAAGAAAGCTTTTTATAAGTTGGTCGGCAGCAGAGCTAAATCCATGGCCAATTGTATCAAAAGCGTTATTGGAATCTAGTAGTATCAAACAAACAGCTTTACCGCAATTTAATGAACTAACAATCTTATCTGCAATACAAGCGAGTGCTACTGTTGTGTCACAAAATTTTCGGAAATCAGCTGCTGTAAAAATATAACTATTTTTCACACCAGTTTGAAGCTGCGCATGTTTTTATAAGTAGTGTCTAGTAATGTAAGTCCAAAAACTTATCCTGTAATTTCCGTGTCCATTGCCTAGCCGAATCAGACCACTCATGTATGTTTATATTTTTGTTTATTGCACGGCGTTTAGGCCAGCTGTGTGACTTTTCTCCAGTAGGGGAGACCGGGGTTCAAAGTGCCGGGGGTAGGTTGTTCCGATCCGAATAGCTCAGCGATGAAAAGAGATAACAATAGGTGTGAAGTGTGTTGCAAACCGTCGTACTAACGCGCTATTGTGTCAGCCATTTTAGTGATGCCGTGACAGCAGGTGACAGTGGTAATCGTTAGTGGTGTATAAAAATCACGTAAGTAAATTTTTTCGTCTCTAGTCTTTTTGGTCTAAATCATTTAATTTGACTGCTATTTGTGCCTGATTTGCAGAGTTGAGTTGGGCAAACTATAGCGAATATCTTTTTATTATCATTCTTCCATTTTCTTAACCTATTCTATTATAATTGGAGGATACCTTGGAAATGGGATTTGGGGTTGAAAGTTCCTTTGGCGGGGGGCTAGTTGTACCGCGGAACAACGTGTCCCGTAATGTAACACGTTAATAATAGAAATCAAATTTGTTTTAGGATGAGAAACTACAAACGGAAAACCGAACGAGGCAAAGTTTCGATTGACTTGCTGCAGCGGGCAGCTGATGCTGTTATTAGAGATGGTCGTAAGCTTAAGACGGTCGCTCGAGAACTGGAAATATGCCACATGACGTTATTTCGTTATGTCAAAAAGTTGAAGGCCGGTTTAACACCCACTGTAGGCTATTATTCCAGACAGGTGTTCAACCATGACCAGGAGAAGACATTAGCCGAGTATTTGTTGAAGTGTGCTTCAATCTACTTTGGCCTCTTGGCAGAAGAAGTAAGGAAATTGGCATATACTTGTGCTATTAAATTTGACATGCATAACATTCCTGCCTCTTGGCATAGAAATAAAGAAGCTGGAGCTGATTGGTTTACGGGTTTTTTGAAAAGAAATCCATCCTTGTCTATAAGAACTCCTGAAGCAACAAGTGCAGGTCGTGCATCTTCTTTTAACCGGCACAACGTTAAGGAATTCTTCAAGAAGTTTGGAGACGTCATATTGAAACACAGCTTCCGACCGTCTAGAATATGGAACTTGGACGAAACAGGAGTCACCACTGTGCTAAAACCAAAAAAAATAGTAGCCTCAAAAGGAGCTAAGCAGGTAGGTGCCATAGTATCTGCAGAGCGGGGAACCTTAGTTACCGTCGAATTAGCAGCGAATGCAGTTGGAAATACTATCCCCCCTATGTTTGTTTTTCCTCGCCTCAAGTATAAAGACCTATTTCTTCGTGATGGTCCCCCAGAAAGTATTGGAGCAGGAAATAGTTCGGGATGGATGACGGCTAAAGAATTCCTTATCTTCATGGACCATTTTATTAAATATACAAAGCCTACACCTGAGGATCCAGTCTTGTTATTGCTTGATAACCATCAATCACATGTTGACATTGATGTTGTTGAAAAGGCAAAGGTCAATTCGGTTGTAATGTTGTCTTTCCCTCCACATTGCACTAATCATTTGCAACTTTTAGACGTTGGCGTTAATGGACCGTTCAAAACATATTGTACCAAAGCTCAACAAAACTGGTTACGTAACAACCCAGGAAAGACAATGTCTATCTATGAGATACCTGGAATTGTAAAGATTGCATGGCCTGTAGCAGCGACTCCCAATAACATAATGGACGCGTTTAAAAAAGCAGGCATAAGTCCATACAACCCTGATATATTTACGGATGAAGATTTTGCTCCGTCTTTTGTGACTGACCGACCTCTGCCTGACACTCACATATCGTTATTGGAATCAACTCATGATGAGGAATCACAGCTCCAAAAAATAACAGATCATGAAGAACCTGGGTTGAATTGTAATATGGAAGGCATCCCAGATATCGAGCCACGTCCAGCGACAACAGGACCCGTGACGAATCAACCTCAACCAGGACCTTCAAACATTGCCGATTTCTCAAACAATGTTGTAATTCAAGCCACATCTCGCATATTTTCCCCTGAAGCTATCAAACCTTTACCAAAAGCACTACCAAGATCATCTACAGCAACTAAGCACCGAATTAGAAAATCAGCAATACTGACAGATACGCCTGAAAAGAACGCTTTAGCTGAAGAAAAAGCGAGAAGAGTGAAAAGCAAAACCAAAACAAAGGGAAACAAAATTGAAAAGAGAATTGGAAAAACAAACTCAAACAGTATAGACAAGCAAAATTGTAAAGTGATAGGTAAATCCGTAAGTGGTAAAAAAAATGTGAAACGGAAAATCCTCCAAGACGATCATGAAAGCGACAGCGAAGAAGACAGTCTGGAATGGTATTGTTTGATATGCTGCGACTCATTTTCCAATTCAAAACCAGGAGAACAATGGATTGAATGCGTCAAGTGTAAGAATTGGGCTCATTCAAAATGCCTAAAATCTGAAGATATACATTTTTTTGTTTGTCCGAATTGTGATTCGGATGACGAATACTTTGAATAATTATCTTTTCTGTGAAAAAAATATTGATAACTAAACCGTCTATCAGATTTTTGATCTCATTAATGTTAGCCGTATGAGACTGAATAAAGTAGGTAACTCTAACTATATTTCAAAATGTTACATTTGGTTGATTTTTCTTAATGTTTCGATGAAAACACATAATTTGCGTTCATAATAGGGATGTTTTGTTAGTCTTAAGTTTAGTAATTAGGTGCAGATTTTACATTATTACGAGCATTATTACTAATCACACTTCTTAATACCTTTTAAGAGTATTGTTTTCGTTAAATCTTCAAAGTGTCTTGTGAATTCGTTTAAAATGTTACACATTTACGTTTAATAAATAAAACTGTCATTAATATCGGATACATGTATGTCTTATTTATTTTATAATGACTGGAGATGACAGCGGCACAACTTACCTCAACTAAGGAACAACACGCCCCTTGAAGGGGCTGGTTGTTCCTTATCGACCTGCTACAAAAAATTGGTCCTAGGCCAAAATAGATTGTCATTTCAATGAATTTAACAGTTGAAAGTGAAACTAGAATAATTTCCGCATCTATTCATATAGTAATCATGTATTAAAAAACTGTTTATTGCATTCATATTGGGTCCTACTTCAAAATCGGAACTTCGAACCCCGCGCTCCCCTACATATATGTGGTTTGATTCGGAAAGACAATGAATTCCTAGGAGTGCTTAGTAGTCCAACAAGGCAATATGTTATTTTATATCAACGCCTTTTGTTATGTGAGTCCAGAAATTTTCCAAATCGCTTAGTACATTAATGATTAGTCTACTTCGTCTTCCTCAAATAAATAATTTTTTTTATTATTTTAAATTTATTAGAATATTTATAACAAATTCGCACTATTTAAATATTTCTGTAATCACACACACAATGTATTGAGGTTAACCTATTCGTCTGACCAAACTTCGATCCTGTAATTGATGTCCCCGCCAAGATCTGATCTTAGGATAATTTCAACATCATAGGTACCATATCCTCCGCTAACTATACGAGCACTCCCTCCTTTGCCTTCAATATCCTGATCTGTGATCTGAAACGTATTTTTGCATAGTAAAATACACTTTCAATAGATCTGGCCCATGATCGGAGATTGGAAACCTTGTGTGTGAATCTACATGAAACATTAATTTTAGTTTGCTTTATAAACTATGGTCCAAAAATGTTTCCTTACAAAAACTCGGGATGTTGAAGTTTTAGGAAAAAAATGGAAATTAATCAATAGTTTCAGAACCGCTTCAAATATTTCACTGATATTTAGTAGGTAGTGAAAGTTAATAAAGTTGCATATTTTTCAATGCATAAATAATTTTTAGTTTTAACAGTGGCGTGCGTACGGGTATTGAATTTGCTATTTTTTACGAAAAAAAATAGTACGTCAATAGTTTTTTGCCAAATAAAAATTATTTTTAAATTCCCCGTTCAATTTAAAACAAATGATCTCTCTTGAATTGTTTTCCTTCGATGTGCCATTTTTTAGTAAAAAAATAAAAACCGTTCTATTATCTAACTTGCAAAATTATTATTACTCAATTTAATTGGAAAAACTAGACACATTAGGGGTAATGAGCAAGAACAACTGACAACATAAAATAACATTAAAACCAACGAAATGATTACAAAAATTGTTGAAAATGGCCCCCTTCGCTTAGTATGTGTGCTTCCGCCCTCCTTCTCATGGAATTGCGCACTCGTTGAAATATCCCTGGAGTGTTTTTTATTCTATCACAAGCTGCAACTATTCTTTCTCTTAATTCCTTCACAGTGTTAATGGGACTTGCGTACACTAGTGTCTTAAGATAGCCCCACAAAAAGAAATCTAAACTGTTGAGGCCTGGTGACCTTGCTGGCCATTCTTGGGGCCCACCGCGGCCAATCCTACTATCTGGATGAACAGTTTGTAAATAATTACGAACCGCTACACTGAAATGCGCTAGTGCACCATCATGCATTTACCTCATATTGTTTCTTATTACTAACGGAGCATCATCAAGCAGCAAAGGCAACTGTTGTTGAAGAAAATTGAGGTAAGTATGTCCGTCAAGTCGTCCCGGCAAGAAGAATGGGCCAATAAAGTGGTTGCCAATAGTTCCTGCCCATACGTTAACCGAAGATTGGAGTTGGAAATGGGCTTCGGTTACGGCATAGGGATTTTCTTCTGCACACAAATGATTATTGTGGATGGCATTTCGAGAAAAATTAGCTTCGTCCGTGAACAGATTCATTAATTCAAATTGCGGATTTTGTGCAATTTTTTGAAGATACCACTGACAAAAGGTCACACTCCTTGGAAAATCAGTGGGAAGTAATACCTGTACGCTTAAAATATGGTAAGGATGCCATAGCGTCATCTATAAGAATTTGTCACAGCTGTTTGTCTATTTACTATATATACTTTGAATGGGTTAGTGCTTTGTAGATGGCGCTGCAGTCAACCGTATTAGCACGACGACGATATCGGCAGCGCCACTTACGGGATACAAAATTTTTCAAAGTATAATTATGTAGGTAGTTAATAAAGAAGCAGCTGTGACAAATTCTCATAGAAACAGTATTTAATTGTATCTCAGATAATTTCTTGGGTGCCAGAATATAGCATTAATTTGGCAATCTGTTAGTAGAATACGTTGATCAATGATGTTGAAGAATACTTACTTTCAAACATGTTATTTTACATTTGTTAAGTCCAGCCACGGGAAAGACAAATCTGCGTATCTTTCGCTTCAAGAAGCTGCCTTCTTCAAAAACGTTACTTTGGTATAGAGGCCTAAGCCTGCAACAAAAACCTTACGTGAATATATCGGAAGCAGGGGCGTCACTTTCATTATAGTATCACACAATCTGGTACTGTTTTTGAAACGATTCATACAAGCACCCGCCGTTGCGTCTAATAGTGCATGTGGATGTCTTTGTAGTGAACGTCTATCATTTTGATTGGTGGTATTACTTGAAGAAGAAAAAACGTAGTGACTTACGAGGTGTTTATTTAGAATACGAATCTACTATAAGCCTCGATTTTACTATAGATCCGCGGGTTCAAAATTCTTGTATCGGATCAAAATAGACCAATGAGAAGGCGTCTTTGTAGTAATGGATCAAATAAGTGTAACAAGGGCCTCTAATCGTCCTATTAAATCAATATTCTTTATCAATCACCTGGTTTTGTTACAAAAATATATTTCTCCAGTTGATCCGGATATCAAAACCTATGATCCGTATCAACAACTACCAATTAGAAAGCTTTTTCGTAAAACTGCGTGGAAAATTGGTCAATTGAAAACAATTATCATAAGCACACTGCCACGCCTTTTTTTGATTTTTAATAAAACACAATGACAAATACTATCTGACGGTTGGTACAAGCAAAGCAGTTGTCTAGTGGCGTGCAAATTTAGTCACTAGCTCAACAAAGCGGAGAGTAGGGGGGGGGGGGGTTAAGAGCGCCAGTGACTTAGGGCGGATTAAGCCACAACTCCCCGAGATGTTAGTCGTAACTTGTTTTGCTTGACCACCGCACAAAACAAAATCTAACAGAGATGACGAAATTTAAGTAACAGTACACACAGAGAGAGCCAAATAAAACAAGATATTAAATGAATCACAATATATTGACTAAGAAAAAAAAACGCACATTTCCTCCACTACTGGAGTGCGAGTAATAAAAAAAAGGATGTTATAAATCTTAAATACCTGACAAAATTATTTTTCGAGATAACTCCGCGAAATGTCTACCATGGTATACGCTCGAAGTATTTACCGATATGTTGCGCCTAAATATCATGATATAATAGGTTCTCTTTGTCAGGCGCGGCCGAGATGTCCTCAACTCTGGTCAAAAAGTGGCCAGTAGTGGGCACGTCACTGGGCAGGGGCTGCTTGCCTCATTGCCAAAAATTGTGGTAGTAACAAAAAAAACCCTAGAGAGAGAAAGACTGTTTAAAAATCTACACTACTCTCTGTCTGAGATAAAACTACTCATTGAAAACAATCACACTTGAAGCAAAACCATGTACATTTTTTTGTACAAGAAAAGTAAGGCAAAGGCATAAAAAAAGATAAAAATGTACTAAACTAATATAGAGCTGTTCTAAAAAGTTATGGCAGCTCAAAAATCAAAATCATGATCAATGTAATAGAAGGTCGCTGCCCCCATATTTGAATACGTAGAATGTCCAATAAAATTAAGAAGTCTCTAAGAATTTCAATAAGCAATAATAAATGTACAGAGATCTATGAAATTGTTAATTAGAATGATATTTTACCTGTCCACATCAGGTTTTTTTCCAAGGGGATGGCTTCCACCAATTTGCAAAACTGCAACAAGATACAACCAACTGGAGGAGAAAGGATGATGATTCTCTTCTATTTCTATTGACTAAAAGAAAGCAGATATTGAACGAACGTCATCAGGACACGCATTAAGGCACGTGGTCCGAAGATATATAAAAAAGGACTTACCGCTGAGGGTCCAAATCCCATAAAAAAATGAAAGACGTAGCACCCAAACCAAAATGACTAAACTTAAGTTACACAAAAAAAGGGGTGCTAGTCCATGAATTGGCGCTTGGGGCCTAATATCCCAGAGCCCGGAAATGATGAAATGACCTCTGCACCACGACCTCAACGGAAACAGAAAAGCGAATCATGCAAAACACGTAACGTTCTAGAAGAAGGTATCTTGAGTGGCCTTGAAGAAACCAACTAACGGAGAAAACCTACAGACTTTTTTGCTGATCGCCAACACCATACTGAATCGCTGAGAAAGAAAGATATAATGCGAGTGAAATTATACAATCAATAAACTATTAAATTTTCCAGAAGAAAATCATTGAAAAGGCCTAGGAATGGGCACTCTATTATCAATGAAGAGAAATTCAAATTACGGATAAGTGATAAATAGTAAAAAAAAGGTTACGTGATTTTGCCACATGAAGGTCAATGACATTAATGTTAAATTTACCCTCGCCAGCAGGCCCGTTTTATTTTGTACAACATAGGTATTCCACACTCGTCAAAATTTGGGAGTATAGCGCGCTATTCGTCACAATTATCAATAAATTTGAACCCTATACCTATACACAGACGATCAGATGAAAACAATCTTAATAGAAGAATTTTCCTCCACCCACTGGTGCGGCTGGGTTCCAGTTCTTTATTTGCCTCAGAAACTTGGATATCCTGATTCCCTCTTTAGTTATGTTTTGATTTCTCGAAGGACCATATAATATAAGCCAATGGTGTCAGAATTTATTAATATGCACTTTATTCTCTGGGGACAACTTAAGTGCTTAGGAAAAATAGCAGACCAAATTTGCTTAGAGCATGCTTCGCGGGCTTTACAAAATCTACTCCATGTTATTACATGGTAATTTAGCGCCACCTATAACTTCAGTTTACATAAGGCAATCCAAGTAACGCCATTTACAGGTGAATGATAAAATTAAAGACCTGTATACGGAAAGCACCTCTCAAAATGACAACCAAACATAACGCGGCAGCTAGATGGCTGCACTTACCCTGTTATACATATAAAAAAAGCCTTAAAACTAAACACTTCCAGGAGCGAGATGTCATTTTTCATACATCGTGAGATCGAACTATCAAACTTGATCTTCGTACAACAACCGCAGGTTTCTTTCATGCTTATAACTGGTTAAGATGGCAACTTTCGGTATGATTACTGTGTCATATTAATCACACTTATGAATATTTGCGAATGCATCTTCCCTGCCCCATCTCTAGTATTCGTTTTCCCTCTATTGTTGACAGTTGATACATTTGTAGTGCTATCAAGCTAATAACGGTAAACATGAATAATATGTATTAACACACAAATGTTTTTTATTTTAACACATAGTAGTTGAACCTCGTAACATTTATTTTTCAATTTAATTAAAAGAGTCGAAAAGAAGTGTGATATGGCCACTCAAATGTTAATTTTGTAGATCTACTGCGATTTCTTCCTCATGACTGTTCGATGAAAAATTTGATGTGGTAGCAATAGACAGTTCTGTGGCTAGCCAGCTAACTGATGCAAGGCTGGTTTCAAATATAATAAAAATATTCCTGTGTTATTGCTGTTTTCCAAGAAAAGTATATACGTCATATTAATACTGAAATACTCAATATCACTGACTCGGAGAAGATATGTTTGCTAAACAGTGGTTCATATATCTACCAATTACATTAGATGAAAATTTAATCGACAATCGACACATTGATGAATTTTTAAAAATATGTCATTTTCTCTAATATGTCTCAGGTAGGTAAAATACTGTTCTTTTCAATAACGTGATTAGTAATTAATGTCAATCAATCTAGGCATTATATCAGATTTCCTACACGATTCGGGCAGGAATCAAAGGGTTCTCTCCGATTGGACAATGTTCGATGCAGTATGACTAAAACGCTTTCTGAATGGTCACTGTTGATACGGATCATAGGCTTTGATCTCCAAATTAACTAAAACATATTGTGCTCAAGAAAATTGGCTACGCAATAACCCAGGCAAGACACCATCTATCTATGAGATACCTGGAAATGTAAAGCATGAATGGCTTTAGCAGCGACCCCAAATAACATAATGAACGCATTAAAAAAGGCAGCCATAATTCCATACAACCCTGGCATATTTACAGATGAAGATTTCGTGACTGACCGACCTAAGCTCGACACTAATATATCACTATTGGACTTCAGTCATAATGCAGAATCACGGCTCCAAGAAATAGCACACCCTGAATTGCATCAGTTGGATTATAATATGGAAGCCCCATCCCAGGTATTGAGCCACGTCCAGCAATAACAGGATCAATGACTAGCGAACACCAACCTGGACCTTCGAACATTACTGACTTTCCAAAGAATGTCAATCAAGTAACATCTCTCATATTTTTCCCTGGAGCCATCAAACCCTTACCAAAAGCACCACGAAGATCATCTAAGCGCAGAATTAGAAAATCTGCAATACTGTCAGAAACGTATGAAAGGTACGCTTTAACTGAAGAAAAAGCAAAACGAGGAAGAGTCAATATCAAAATAAAGGGAAAGAGAATTGAAAAAAGAGTCTGCAAGATGAGTTCAACTGGTAAAGAAAACGTGAACCAGAAAGTCCTGCAAGACAGTGATGAAAGCGATAGTTAAGAAGCCAGTCTGTGATGGTATTGTTTGATATGTTGCGACTCATTTTCCAATTCAAAACCAGGGGAACAATGGATTGAATTTGTTAGGAGTAAGAGTTGGTCTCATTCAAATTCCTGAAATATACGTTATGTTCGCCCGAGTCCTTTGATTAATAATAATGAATAATTTGTTACGCGTAAGTCTCATTTGTTTCATACAGACTTCATCAAATAATATTATTTAATTAATGACTGAGGTTGACAGCGGAACAACTTCTCTGTGTTGTTCCTAGTCGACTTTTACAGAAAATGGATCCTGAGCCAAAACAATTCATTCCAATAAATTCGTTTTTAAAATATGAAGGTAGGATGAATTCTGCATCTATTTACATAGGAATCGTGAATTACAAATATGTTTATTACCTTCATACTAGGTCCTACACCAAAATCGGAACTTCGACCCTCGGCCTCCCTACTCACGTAAAATTAACAGTTGAGAAATTCTATATGGCGGCTGAGCGCCATCTTAAATAGAATTGTAAATTCTCACTATAGCGTACTATCAGGCTCTCAAACTTGGCGTTTTTATACATTGAATTGTTTATTACGCAACAAACATTTGTTGTACGAGTATATCACATTTCATCTTCCTTAACGGGGTTCCTACAATCATGAGCACCATCTGCTGAGGTAACGGGGGGTGAAAAGGAAACGATTGTGGGCTGGTCTTAGACGGTGGTCGGCGCTACTTTAAAAGAGGAAAGGATGACTACGGGTCCTACCGAGGTAAATTTTTATAATAACAGAGTCGGATTTCGATTAGCGATCTAGCCTGTAAATCGTTTCCTGATTTGGTACTCAGCTATTGATCATTTAGTATTGTTCTACACTTGTTACTGTTCGTCGATATTGTGTTGTTGAATTGTTGTGTTGTACTCTTGTTGGTATGACTGTTCTTGAGTGAATTTTTTATCAAGGTTGATAATGGACAATAAAGGGTCATATGCGACAATTTTAATTACGAATTCAGTGAGTTTAATTCACGATGAGGACAACAATAGTGTGGAACAGTTCAACTCTATAATCGCAAAATACATTGGAGTAAGCGAATATATTATTGCAAGAAGAGGTCATACCATGGAAGATGTGCTGCAGCTGTAGTGAGCCACAATACCGAGCGGCCTGTCTATGTGGTCCAAATACAATTGCCTTCTAAGCTTAGTCCAACCTAGCTTATCACTATGATGGAACAAAGACTCAAACGCAAGAATCGTGGAAAGAAACTCAGACCAAAAAAGCTTGATATAAAAATATCTAACAATGCGGATAGCAATTCCAAAGAAAATATATAATAGTTTTATGGCGAATTCTGTCAAAAACCTGACATGAACGACATTGATTTGGAGGTTGCTAAGCAAGAATTTTTAGGGAAACAGAAGAAGTGACGACGAGATTTTGCATATCGAAGAAGTCACCAAATCACAGGACTGTGCTTTGTGGCGTCTTCATCGGAGGATAAGGTTGACAGCGTCTCGATTTGGTGAAGTTTGTTGAAGAAGGCAGGCAACAAGCTGTAAAGTTCTAGTAAACTCGATCATATACCCAACCAAAATTTCTAGTAAGCCAATAAAAAAGGGCAATACAAAAATCATTGGACGCGGCAGTTCAATCTTGTGATTTGTTTATTGATCGCACACATCCATTTCTGGCAGCATCACCTCCATCTACCTATTACAGTAGACAAGACATGCACTTAATCCAGGTATAAGCCTACCTGTTTATTGCTTTGCAAAAGCTACCTAACTGTTTGTCTGGGTACCGTGGGGCTATTGGGGGATACATGGGAAAGGGGGAACGCCACACGGACTCTGGCGAGGAAACACGTGTGCATGCAATATGCACACATTCTGGCTCCGACTACGAGATCCGCCGGGTGGTACCTCCGCGTTCGACAGTCAGAGACCGTCTACCACCTACGGACAATCACAACATCCATAGCCAATAGAAAATTTTCTCCTGGGACGGGACTCGAACCCGCACAGCGCACGGCGACTGATCAGGACACCGAAGAGTCTACTACTGCGGCCACCGCTGCTGCATAGCATATATTATATCTTAGTCCGTACATTGCGCCGCAACGCTTGGTTTGGCAGCACGGAACAGTAGACAAAATTCGTCAAAATACGATTTGTAGAGGTTTCGCCGCTTCAAAATTGACGCTTAATTTTTTGATATTTTTGGATGAAATTTTCACAGAGTGCTGGAAACAAAACCCCACAGGGTTTTATAAAGTCACTTTTTCATTTTTTTTACTAGGTTGTTTTAAAAAAATCGCGAAGTTGAAAAGAAAAAGTGCGCACCTCAACCCATCATAAAACTTGTGCAAAAACAAAATTTCAAAAAGTACTCCTATAGCACCCTGGGCAATTATCTTCTCAACATACTGTATGAATTTCATTCAAAAATATTGAAAAATGGAGTGTCAGTTTTGAAGCAGCCGAACCCTTGTAAATAGCTTGAAACTCACTGCGTCGGAGCCGCCTTAAAGCGCTTTTATGGATAGGGGTTCCATAGAGCATAATCGGGATTGTCATTGACAAAATAAGAGGAAACATTATGCAATGAAGATTTTAAAACTCTGTGTCGCCTAAAATGGCTTTTGACTAGTCCCGTAATATACGCGCAAAAATAGATTCTTTTTGTTTATTCAATGATATACAACTTACGTAAAACATACTCACAAGACGTGTGTATGTCTTGATATGTTTTTTTATTTCTGTTGCCATCATAATCAAATACTTACGATGTTACGGGGTCTGGGCACTGTATGACGTTATGAGAATTATTTGAAATAGAAAGTGTAAGCGACACATCATGTAGCAAGGAACAAAAGATCAGTACACTGATTAAAACCGACAAAAATACCTTATCTACCATTTTGTTAGAAACTGATGTAAAATTTCTAATTTCCTGGCCTTTTATCTAGCGGTGCTTGATCAGAATCGGCATTTCTTAACACACGGAAGGTAAACAGATAACAGATGAAGGACGTTTATCGGAATAGTATTAGTAATTTATATTCGTATGTAATGGTTAAAAACAATGTCAATACTAATAATGTTTGGGAAACTTCATTACCGAATCTTAAGTCAGTAGAAAACACAGTAATAGACGAAGAGAAAGCATCATATTCAAATTCCGATAAATCCCAAAAAATGGTGTCAAGTAGGATGACGCTGCACTTCCCACGCAACACTGTCATCAGTTCATAAATGATTATTGCGAGCTAATCACACTTGCGATGACTAAGGCCCGTATCGTCAGTCGTCCCTACAAATGTAGGGCGCGTTTATGGCCTCCTTGATTGTCATATCCCTTTCTCTTCATCAAACATTTCTAGATTACACTTGTCCCGTGTCAGCGTCAGCGCTTTCCTATTGTGAAGATATGTTCTCTTTTTAAATTGTAGGAAATTTCAGGCTGATGAAACATGATATAAGTCAAAAGCAAGCCCAATTTGATGCAAATAGATGTTTGTGACATAACCTCAAAATAGAGCGCTGACACGGAGAAGTAGAAAACTATGACAATCAAGGAGGCCATAAAGGCCCCCTACAATTGTAGGGACGACTGACGATACGGGTCTAAGTCTCAGCAATAACCAGTACGCGACTGGTTCGTTATCTGTCTTCGTGGCGCGCACTCATCGGATGCAACCAAAATAATGTCAGATCAGCACGGGTATTGGGAAGATTTATATCACTTAGTCTCTAGGGCAAATATGCGGAGAAACATATGTCTGAAATTTGTCTAATAGTTACTCAAGTGGAATTACCACCATTAGAGGCGTATAAATATAATAACGCCAAATAATTGAAACATACCCTTCCTTACTCCCTGCAGCCTTCCTCCCACCCCCACTCCTCTACCACTCAAAAATTTTCCGAAAAATATGGGACGATTTTTCTTTTCCGTTTTTCGTCCGTAGGTCCACCATCAATATATAAAATAATCTTCATATTCAATAACTAAAGGGAGTAACACAGAATTTGGATCACGAGATACTCCCGTTTGAGAGTCCATGCCCTTCAGGATCAAAAACAATAATCGAATTCTTTACCTGTTGCGAGATCTTGAAAGTGGATTACATCTTTTATCTGTAGATGTGAATATATTTGCATTTATATCATTTCGGGGTGGTATCTTTCTACGAGATCCCCTAAATCGGATCTATTTAAAAAGCAACTCCTCAACAAAAGCTTGAGCTGCTAATAATTGATGCATGCATACCCGAACATGTTGATAAACGTTGTAATCATACTATTCACAAGATGCTATGCATATTCATTGCAATGTCAGCTTACCTGACCCCATTTCTTGGGCTAACTGGACCAGACTACTATTCCCCAATGCCGAACGACTCGACGAACAATCGAAGTTGTCAAGTGTCTCAATTAAAGAGCCTTCTCTTAAAAAACTTCGACGAGCATTTTGGACGCATTCACTGAGGACCACACACCTAAAAAATTTGTTGGAGATAATAAAAATATCAGATCCTTGATTCAAGATCTGTTGTACTTGGACTGAAGTGACATTATTTTTTTAGAAATTAGATTCCTTCACTCAATGAATCGATTTTCTGGAAATAATAAATTACTTTATTATAGATTTCATGTTTTATTTAGACATGAATTTCACTCTTCAAATTTTCAAATATTTCTTCAAACAAACGAAAGTTGTCGATTGAGACCACAGTAAAAACTCAACTGTATAAACAATGAATGATCTTAAGTAATATCATAAGGGCATGTAATTTTTCCGAAAAGAATCGAAAAAAACACGTTGCTAAGTAGTATTTAAACAAGAAGCATGAGTGCTAGTGGCTCGGATTTTTGCACCTGCACGAATATTTGTTGTTATAAAAATATTACTTTGCATTGTTTTTTTTTCGATTTTTCTCACAGAAAAAAATATATATATATTTATATTTGACAAGACTATTTAATGAGTAACAGATTATTGTGCATACACATAGCTTACAAAGTTTATTGACAATAAAATCTGAAAAATAGATTAGCGTCGTTTTCTGGTGTCCTAGGAGACTTGTTATCAAAGGTAGGTATTGTTAATTTTTGGTGACAACGGCTGTCGAGTTTTGCGGCGGGTAAACTGGAAAAGACTGTTGACAGGTGCAGAGTCATACAATTTTTCCATCTAGAAACCATTTGTAATTGAAAATTGCGCGTTTGTGATTGGTAGAAATTAAGATGAGGAAAATAGTCAGACGAAAACAGCTCACGGGCACATTTTTACCACTTCTTAGCACATTAGAACTTGGCCAAGGTTTCATGTATTTGGTCCCACTCTAACCACGCTTGTAATGTGGAGATGCTTGACGCCATGACCAACCAGCGGAATTACATTCCGAAGCGGTGGTGTAACTGTTTTGCAGCCGCCCTCAACCAACCGTCGCTTGTTGATTAGGAGATTGATTGACCTGTCAAAGGCTAGTCGCGTCGATCCCGTTATTCACCTCAGCCAGTTGCATTACATAATTAGGGTCCAGTCGGAGCAACTGTGATGCTCGGTGGCAAGAGGCATGGTGACCCTCAGCTGCTATCTACACGTAAGTGCTTTGGCTTTGTAGCTGAAGCTGCGGCAATGAACGCACGGCGAAGCTTCGGTGAAGCATCCTGCCCGTGGTCCTTCTGAACGGACTGTCGCCTGTGAGAAAGTCAAAAGCGACTGTGACAGTGGCAGCAAACTATTTTAGTACATTTGGATGTACTTTGAGGCCGAAATGTAGTAGCGTGAAGCTACAATCGCAAATAGCACCGAACGGGTTTATTAAGTATTTCAGGATGGGGTAAAACTGTGAAATAAAACTGCAAATGAAACCAACTGGTTGTTAAATAAACTTTAAGACTGTAATAAGCGTAAAGCGTAAAAGGGCCCACACCGAAAGCGGTCAATGGAACCAAAATTAAAAACCTTCTTAAAACTCGATTACCTTGACGAACTGTTTTTAAAACTGCGGTAGAGGTACTTTTAGAACCAATTTAAACACATTCTAAACAATCGCATTAAAGATAGCTTGCCTTATTGTTAACATAAATAGATCATAGGCCAACAAATATATTTATATTATATACAGGGTGATTCACGAATCGTGATAAAAAATCAAACATCATACACAGGTCCGCATTTCAAGGGGGGTCTTCTATGTAACATTTTTTTCCCGAGGGCTTCATTAAGGCCCGTATCGTCAGTCGTCCCTACAATTGTAGGGCGCCTTTATGGCCTCCTTGATTGTCATAGTTTTCTACTTCTCCGTGTCAGAACTCTATTTTGAGGTTATGTCACAAACATCTATTTGCATCAAATTATGCTTGCTTTTGAGTTATATCATGTTTCATCAGCCTGAAATTTCCTACAATTTAAAAAGAAAACATATCTTCACAATAGGAGAGCGCTGACGCTGACACGGCGCAAGTGTAATCTAGAAATTTTTGAAGGAGAGAAAGCAGTATTACAATCAAGGAGGCCATAAACGCGCCCTACAATTGTAGGGACGACTGACGATACCGGCCTAAAAAACAATTTTTTTCAATATCTTCAAACCTTCAACTGGAATGAACTTAAATTTGATATGTGGATTTACCTAAGTATTGTTCACATTCAAAGGTCTTTACTTGAATTTAACGTGCACCAGTGGCGGGGATACAGGGGATTGGTCGCTTTATTTTTCTAAAAAAAATAGTACGCCACTGTTTTTTCAAAACGTGCAATTTTTAGAATTATATTTTCAATTTGCTACAAATAATTACTCTTGTATTTTTTCCTGATGTGCATTTTTTCCGTAAAAATAAAAAAAACAAATTTGATAATCAAAGTTTTATTCCAATGAAAGCTAAAAAGGATCACCATTCTCACGGATACAAGTGTCGCATCTTTTTAATAAAGAAAAACGTATTACTGCAAAATTTGTTGTGGCTTGAATTTGGTGAGTCTCTATAAGTATTAGCTCTCTTCTACCGCTACACCAACGGGCTTTGCTCCTCAGAGCTGCCTTTCATGATACCGCCCAGCGATGTGGCTGCCAGGCAGACCCGCTCGACTTTGGCCTCATCTTAATAATGTCGAACTTCGTACATCTAGAACTGGCCGATACGACCACTCCTTTGTCCTGAGGGTGTCGAGATTGTGAAACAATCTACAAGAGGAAGCTCTTCCCAGTTCTACTAACCTTAATCGGATTAACAAAATTTCTTTGGTATCATCATTGCAGCCGCGGTGTCCCGGCATTTAGGCTTTTGCCTGTGCGACTGCTTCAGTATATAAAAAAATCTACTATTTCTTGTAATTGATCACCAAAATTGATTTATTCTGTATACACTAGTTGTTTAAAAGCGCCCCACAAAATGAAATGCAGGGGGCTCAAATCAGGAGATCTGTCAGGCCAATGTACAAGTCCGTTTCTGCCAATCGATCGTTGTTCAAAATGATTGCGGTTATGTCACGACGAACATGCGGATGGGCACAGTCGTGCTGATACCACATTTGGACTCTCGTTGCTAACGGAACGTCATCTAACACATTTTCTATGTAACTCTCAAGAAAAGGCAAGTACGAGTTTGCATTTAAACGTTGTGGAATACGTGCATGAACAGTTGGCCATTGAAAATGCCGAACCAGACGTCTAGAAAATCGGTGTAGAAACGAGTGGTTTCATACAGAACGGGGATTTTCTAACGACCAAAAATAGTTATGTTCATTATGAGAATTAAAGGTTCCACTCCTCGGGAAAAGCGATTCCATCTGACCACAAAATAAAATCTAGAATATCTACATATTCATTATGCATTTGCAGTAACAGCTCACAAAATTTTTGCCGTTGCACTTCGTCGCGGGGTCGCAGGCGTTGCAAATTTTGCCGATGGTAAAGATGTAAAATTTTTGGGAACATGGTAACTGGGCTGCAATCTACCTAGTACT